GCAGGAAAGTGGCCCAACCTGTTTGCCTAGCAGAGTGTTAGATAGAAGGGTCCAGCAGCAAGGAGGGGACCAAAGAGAGCAATTACTCATTGAATGGCAAAACAGTGGGGAGGAAAGCGCCACTTGGGAAGATCGGGTGATGATGCAAGAACAGTTCCCAGAATTCAACCTTGGGGACAAGGTTGATTTTCAAGGGGGGAGTAATGTTAGGCCTTGGAGGGTTTATGAGAGGAGAAGGGTGAGGAATAATACCTAACTGTTATCTAACAGAATAACAGTTAAGAGGGCGGGAACAGGGTCTATATAAGGACCCTGTATTTGTTTCTGAAAGTTAGTTAGTGACTTGTTTGTAGTTGACCGGTCTAAGGACCAGGTGAAGGAGGTTAAGCTCCTGTGAACATTGTATTCTTGATTTGTTGGTGTGAATGCAATTCCATTCTTTCTCATTCTATTTTGCTCCGTGTTGGTGTAAGTAAGTGAGAGTTAGAGAGCTCGTTAGGGATTTCATCTTGAATACCTAACAAAATCACAATGGCCCAACCCAGAGAGTTTGGTGTGTTTCCTCTAAAAGAGGGTAGGGGATGTGACAGCAAGTCAATGGAGAAGACAGTTAAATACACTGCGGCATTTGTTAATAGGAAGTAAATCAATGATTAATGGGAGCATGAGATAGACAAGGTTAGCAGAGGCAACTGTGTATATTACATCACTAAACTTGGGACCAAGAGCTCTGGGGGCTGAAGGTATTTCTGTTCACTGTTTCTGACACCGTCTTATTCATCTTCTGCATCCATTGTGTGAGTATTCTGGCTTTGTGCCTTGTGCCATTATTTTGAGTTATTTTGGTTTCGTAACATACTATTCATTTTCACTAAACAAGATAAATCAGTAACCAAACATGAAAATTCAGAACCTAGTTACCTATCCTATACATTTTTTTCAAGGAAACAACTGCATAAAAGCATGGAATTAAACAAGTTTTGAAATGTGAAACTATTCTTCTTAAAATGTTAAATTTAAACATAATGCGTGCATATAAACAAACTGTTTCCCAGAATCCTATTATAAGTGGGAAAAGGATATCAATTACCATATCATGAAATAGCATAAAAATAAAATAACCAAAGCTCCAATCAAGCAAATGTAAGCCAAATCAGATATATCCCAAACCAAACGTCCAAAAGCAAACAATATTACCATCACTAACTGAATCCCTTTAAATTGTTAGAATAATGAAAAAAAAAAAAGAGATGAAAGAGGGAGATAACCTTCTTGAATTGATCAATCCGCTGAGAAGCAAAGTGAAAAGCTAGAACAACAAAAAATATGAAAGGAGCTGCTAGTGACCTCTGATATTCTTCACTAGCTTGGTCTCCCATCCTCACTTCAATTTAATGGCTCAGAAAACTCTATTCTACAGGTAACTTTTGTTTCGTTTCTTCCCTCTGGTCCGGAATGCTTGGAAAACAGACCAAACCAACACAAACCTGTAAAGTTTCAGATCAAGGTTCAACCAATTAATCCAAGTGGTCGAACCAGATGGGGCCTGAATATATACACACACACATAAAAACTTAGACAAAAGAAATCAAATTAAGTACCTATCAATCACAAATTTTCGTCAAAAAGTCACAAGACTCATAAGGAATGACTAAAACTACATTGAAGGGGAGGGCATAAAAGGGAATTTACAAAATGATATAGTAACACGGTGAATGTAAATACAGCAAAAATATGTAACAATCAAATCAAAACCAAGAATCAAGCACTGACGAAAATAATAAGCATCCGATTCACACCAAAAAGATGCAGAAAAAAAAATGCAAGACAATAAATCTAAAATAAAAAAAATTGCCGCTAGTGAACAAAAATTCCAAATATGAGTTACAAATACAAAACTGAAAATAAAAATTTAAGGGAGAAAATAGTACTTGAGAGAATTGGAGAAATAAAACGGATAGATCATACCTAGGAACAGCAGTACCAAAGAGCATTGGGATTAGGGCTGTAGTAAATGCAAGTGTTTATGTTAGAATGAAGAAAAAGTCATTAAAAATGACAAATGTTAGTTGCAGACCAATTTCATAGAACAATTTGCTCAATAATTTGTGTTTATCACCCTTGGACATTATTTATACATGTCATAACGGTAGAAGAAGATAAACAGAAAAAATATTATATAAATTAGTATATGTGTATGACATATCATATAAGACCCTAATTTAATAGTTAACAAAAATTTATATCATATTATAAAACCACGAAATTATCGTTCTTAAAAGTTGCATAAACAATAGCTTGAATAAATTTTAATCAATAAAATAGGAACAATAACATTTTATTATTAATTTTAATAGAAAATGTGTTATTAATATCATTGTCAATGAAAATGGAGCCATGGATAAACTTAGTATTCTTTTTGGCAAACTAACAAAATTAGTTCTTCTCACTGCATCTAAGGATATAAACTTTATAGTTTAAATTAATTTACATTGGCATCCCAATCATATCTAATGGCTTCAAATTAAATTTATCAAAATTAATTTAAATAAATTTTAAAATAAACTCTTAACTTTTGACTGATTAGTATGGTGAAACCATGGAAATGGTTTTACTTTCTTAGATATGAAGGAAAATTAAAAAATAAAATAAATAAATAAACTGGTGGAGCATGAACAATCTGTCTTTAATTGAAGAGGAAGGAAGTTCAATGAGTAGAAAGAGGAGGTCAACAAAGTAACTTATTTTGCTTGTGGGAGATAGGGTGAGATTGTACATATCAAGACTCAGAGAAATTTTGGGTGCAAGTTCCTAAAGTGTCTTAGCTGTAGGGTATTGCGGTTCCTATTTGAAGAATTATATTTCAAGTGCATTTTGATTTTGGTTAATAGTTCAATTTGAGGTGTTATATTAGAAGCGTCTCTTAAGTACATTGCTCTCCACAAAGATTCCAAATGACTCGTTTGTGAACCATCCCTTCTTTGACCAACAACACATTGACAATGGTGAGTCCAGCAAAAAAAATTAATGATGTCAATGCTGATGCAGTTGAGTCAAAGTCCCCTAGACAAACCGCCAGAAAGGGAGGGGCCTAGAAGCCACTAGCATAAATCCATAAGGGCTATCTGTCCCACTGCTCAATATGAAGAATGATTGGATTCCATCGTCCTTTATCTATTTGAGCCAACCTCACCCATCTAAAACTACGCTCTTCTAAACAGAGATTGTGATTTAGACATCTACCTTAATTAGTGTTTTAGTTTTAGTCTGGTTTATTTATTTAGTTAAAGTAATAGCCTATAACCTACTGCTTCCAAATGTTATATTATCTTCAATTATTGTTTAATCTTGTATATTGTATTGATCTCTAAATTTGGTTGTGTTGAGAATAAATAAGTAATCTAAAGTCTTCTGCATTTCATTTTAGAAAATATAATTCACTGGTAGTAGCCATGAGCTTGACTATAGCCTTTTTCAAGTATAATTGAATCGCAATAATAACACAGCTAATTAAAAACAGTAGCAATGGGATGTCTTTCCTTTTCTTTCTTCTTCGTTCATAGATGAAATAAACTGTGACAGTAGCATTGGCAACAATATTAACTAAAAAGCCCCAAAGGTAAGCAGGCTCTATGCCTTTAAAGAATATCTTCAACACCAACACGAATTATAGGAAAGTTATCATTATGAGTTTAATCTCGAGTATTTGGAACTTTAAATTTAGTGGGTGGAATTATTTTTTGGAGTCTTTTTGGCAAAATACTTGGATAATTTTCCTATAGAAACACCATATATTCTTATCCAGCACCAACTCAATTAAGTTGGGCATGTATAAACAACATCAAAGCTATAAAAGTCATACAAATTACAATCGAAAGTACTTCAAGGGTAACAGGTAATACTAGTGGATCAATATACCTAATGCTACACTAAGAAACTAACAACTGAAAAAAGAATCATGTAACCGAAATATAATAAAAAGGCTTCAGGGGTGTAACAATACATAATTGACCATAGCCACGAGGTTGAAAGAAAATCAGGCATGCTATACACCCAAAGAAGAGAGAGAAATCAGAAAGCATTTTGGTGGCTGGCCGACCTGGTAATATGTTGTTTGGCAAACCCAACCTAGCCAAGCGCACACGTTGAAATCAAATATAACTCCATACAGTGATCAACCCCAACCACCATATAATCATGGCAAATATCTCCAATAAACTCTAAAATAAAATAAAAACACACCAGCACACACGAATTTATAATCATAAGCACACCCCCACAAAAATAAGACCCCAGAAATTAACAAAAGGGGAAAGAAATTGGAAGAACAAGTATTGAGAAAGATGAAGGCAGGTTCAAATACCCTAAAGGACTATACATGTTTTCGAGATCGCTGAATGTGCTTCAATGGCGAGAGGAAGACTACGGTTTCCTTCGTAGTAGTCACCCAAAATCTGAATACTATATCAGCCTGCAAATCTTCTCGAACAATGGGTACCTCTTTCAAGATTTAACTTTGGTTTTTTCTTTTTCTTTCCTTACTTGGATGAGAAATAAATAGATAGAGAACAATAAAAGTTTTTACATACTTATATTTAAAAAAAAAATGGTTTGTGAGAAGAGAAGGCCGTACATGAAATACTTTTTTACAATAAAAATACATATAGGTTTTTTCTAAATACAATATTTTCAAAATAATTATTATAAAAAAGTATTTTAGAATTTAAACAGTAGTTTATAGAACACGAAAACTAATATTTAAAAGAATTTCAAGGAATTAAAAAAAACATACCCTTTAGTTATCTCACATATTAAATGATGAGATGATTCTTACTATATTCTTCATAATCAGAAGTATGAGTAGAGTGTTTATTTTAAACAAATTTTCTCACTTTCTTATTTGATACTTGATTGGATATTACTATACTTAAATTAGTTTAGTATTTAATGGATTCAATAATTAGCGTTATAATAAATGTATTAGTTTAAGTAAATAACTAGCTAAATTTAATTGACATCGATTTTCTCTAACTTAGACAATTAGTTTAGGATAATTCGGTAAGTACATATAAATACATAGTTCCTAAGCCTTGAGTTTGGACTTAAGTCAATAAAGGGTTTGTTTGTATAAACACTAGTGATGAAATATTGTGTCACTATGTAAATTGTGCTTAAGCCTTGTTTATTGTTGTATCCATTCGATTTATCTTTTAAAAAATATGACTCTTGGGTTAGAAGTATGATAATTGGTGATGAAAGCTACAAGCGTCACTTTATCATTTATCCTCGAGTGATGCTAGATACATTGGTTACAAGAGCATAATGTGTCCTTGAGAATTTCTATAAATCTAGGTGATCCATATTTTCACCATTTCTACTTTTATGCTCATATTTGCACAGTTAAACATCTAATTCTTTCCACTTAAGATAATAAAATGTCTATCATTGACATCTTTTTAAAAAGTTATTTTGGTAAGGAGTATAAAGGGTATACTAATCCTATGTTTGCATCTTTGTCGTCGTTCAAATCATCAAGTGATCAAAGATTGTATTAGAAAAGTTTGGCGTTTGTCATTAGTGTTACCACACTAATTCAACCAGTTAATAAAAGGATTGATTGGGAAAGAGTATTCGTTGAAGAAGATGATCTAGTCAAAGAACAAGGTCCGCACGAGAAGGTTGTGAGGAAGGGGAGTGGTGACACTATTCCAAAGATCCAAGTAGACACAACTGTTAAGGGAGACAAATAGAATATGCTTTAAGTCCTCAGATATGCGTGGGTCACACGCATGAGTATGCTACTATATGGAGCAATGACTTGGTGGAGTTTTGCGGTCAAGACTACTTTTTATAGAAGGATGCGATAGACAACTCTTTACATTTCCGCGTCTATCAGAGAACAATCGAGTATGTCATGATAAGGGAAATTCAAAGCTATACTAATTCAAAGCTATACTTATTCTTTGTCTATTCTTATTTCTTTATTGACTTGTTCGTGTATAAGGTCCTATAGGAGTTGATCCATGCTCCTGTGTAACTCCATTGAGCAACTATACATGTGTTTGATGTCTTATGTAAATCATTAGGTATTAATCCTAGTTCTGTTTTGTTCCTTCACTTCATCCAAATGCTTAGAAAAAATGAATGTTATTAATAAGTGAGACGGTCGAAACCTACAGTTATTTCAAGAATTAGGTTTTCAACATTACCATTACTATTAAAAGGCGCAAGTTATTCTTTGATGAGACAATTGACATACAATTTTCCTATATTCGATGCAAAATTCCGCTCATATTGGCTTGTAAGAGTACTCCATGATAACTCCCAAGAAATTTGCTACTCAGAGTCTTGAAGCAATTATCCCTATAATCTCCCTAGCCTAAGAAAATTTCTCAAGTATCATGATCCTGACATCTCAATCGGATGTTTATAGTAATCTATCTTCCTTTTTTATTTTCTTTTTGATCGGTTTTTAACAGTTAATTTTTTTTTCTGCTTCAGATATCATGATCTGCATCAACCTGGACAACTTCATTTACATCAATAAATTATTCCATAAACTTCTGATAGTACTGTGCTGGAACTATTTAAATTCGAACATGACTAAAAAAAAGACTTGGGACAACCTTATTGATGCAAAGCAGGTTTCTCTTGACCAAATCTTTAATTTCCTAAATTAAAAAGAGACATAACATTTGTTAGTAAATATTTTGCTGAATACAGGGTTTGATAGTTGTTTGGGGTGAAACAGCGTGCTTGAAGAATCTCTTACTTAGACTTTCATCCTACTCCTTTTGCTTCAATTTCATGTGATACTCATTCATATTGTTTCAAATCCTATTTATCACGAGATAATTAAACTTATAATGACTTGCACTTCATTATAGATGAAGTTACTAAAAGAATTTTGAAACTCATTCATGTAAATAATTTTCATGAGTTTGTAGATGTTTTCGTCCTGTAAACATATTTTAAAGATAGTTGTTGATAATATGTTTTTGCCATATTGCAGTCTATTGTACTGTGTTCGTGTTAGTTCAATTTAATTTAATCTTCAACAACATGTTGTCTATAAAGATAATATAAGTTATTATACTTTTACCTAGAAGGAATTAAATATAAAGTTAGTTAGAATTTAAAAAAAAAAATATATTTTAGCATGATAATAGGAAGTTGACAAACATGATTAAATCTAAAAAGAAGATTAGAGATTTTCTTTTTCTGAAAAACTACAATTTAGTACTTTGTAATCTTACATTTGTATGATATTAGATTATATTAGATTTATAGATAACTTGCAACCAATAATATAATTGCATTTTTATCATGCGAGTTTTATACACTTTTGAAAAAAACATATGTATTATACTTTTTCTATAAATAAAATATATTATAACTATTATTAATTTTATTTATGTAATTTTATTTATGATATAAAATAAGACAATTAGATATATTATTTGCTACATACTGTATTGAAATTATCTCGCACTAACAAGTTTTAATTATATAAAATAAAATATAAAATATTTTAAACATTTATAAGTTTTTTTTACAAAATGTGGCTAGTTACTTTTTTAATGTTGATATTAGTTTGTTTTTCCCCTTTTTGTTATATTTTTTTTCATAATTATTAAATTTTCATTAAAATAAAAATAAAATAATTTGTTGATGACATATTGATTTTAAATTCTTCAATTTTTTTTATTAATTTTAAATATATGACAAGTTATTTATTATTTTTAATATCTTATAAAAACATTAATATGCAATATTTTAGTATATGATATTTTTGTAAATTTATTAATGCTCAGATCCGTTATAATATGAAGTTATTAATAAAAATATTTGTTGCATCTTATATACTAAATTAATTATTTGTGTGATTGGTATTTAATAAAAATATAGTTGCAACTTTAAATATATCAAGATCATATCAAAATATATAACGTTTCCATAATTAAAAACTAACTAAGAAAATTAAATTTATCATTGTTATCTCTATTTGTTGGATATACTCATATTGTTTTCATTTGATCTTATCTAAAATAATAAATATGATTCTGAGAGAAAAAATAATAATTTTTTAATGGTATATAAAATATTTTAGACCGGTAAAAAATAATAAGACATTTTAAAAAAAATTAAATAAGAAAATTTGCTGTTCTCATGACATTGTTAAGATTTTATATGGTTAAGATTTAACTTACAAAATATTTCAAAGAAACTTTCTCCACAAGTTTTTTGAAAAGTATTTTAAACTTTAAATTAATCAAAATAAAAAAATATCATTAGAAAAACAACTCATTCTGTATAAAAGAATATAATATAACTTATTTATCCCCGGCACAAAAAAAACTGTGTACAGTTAATTATATATATACATTAACTTTCCTAAAAATAAAACTTACCAAGAATATTTTTATAACTAATTATCGTTTAAAGAAATTCTTTAAAACAAATTGCACATTTTTTTAAATATTCCATGAATCCAAACAGACATATTTATATAAGTCACACATATTATGGATTGTATTTTAATATACTTTTTTTTTGCAGTTTTCTTAATTCATGACTTATTTTGCACTAATACTTCTTCAAGAAAATATTTTCAGATATTTTGTCATGTTTATTTAATCTAATCTATCATTTTAATATATTTAATTTTAAAACTTAATTTTATTTTTTTTAAGAAATGAATGATCAGTAATTAACCTTAAATGAGAGTATAAATTATTCATCATAAAATTAAAAAATATAATTAAAAATTTATAATTGAAAATATTTATTTATAATTTATTACAATAAACTAATAAAATATAATTAAATTTCAGTGCTCATGTTCGTTCATCAATTTACCTTATCTAAAGATAAAAGATCATTAAAATATAATGCTTCCCTCACACACAAATGGATAAGCTACATCTACCTATAACTATTCCCTCTTCCAATAATTATTTTATTATATATTAAAGAGGTGAATATACATGCATTGTGCATGTATTTCTATTAATTTGTTATGAATTTAATTTTTATAAAATAAATAAATTTATTTTTGTAAAAGTTTCATTTTAAGACCCTGATTAGTGTAAAGAATAATAACATAATAATTCATACATTAAATTAAATAAATATATATATATATATTATTTTATGTGATTATTTTCTTTAAATAATTCAAAAGTTCTGACACCAAATCATTAATTTAAAATAATAACGATGGATTTTGAATTTAATCATTACTTATTTTAAATATTTTGATATATATTTTTTCATTTAAAAGTGCGAAAATTTATTCAGAACATGCAAATCATTAGCCATTAACCACCAAATAATTAATTATCAAGTATTTCTTATTTAAATAAGAAACACGATTTTACCAACATACCCCTATGAAGCTCAAAATATCTCATCCAAAACTTCACGTGGCCTGATACTTGTATTCCCGTGGCATCTTGGTAATATTGCAGACCCATAAAAGGATAAAACAGTCATCGTAATAATCAGTGACGCGTGCCAATAAATTCTCAA